ATTACTTATGTTCTGAAATATTTATATATCAGGCATCCTTTATAAATATATATTATAATATATATATAATATATAGTGTTTTAAAATATGAAGAAAAAATTATAAAAAAGGGAAAACATAAAAAATAAGAAGTCATTTTCCTTTGTCTGTCCATCATTTTATAAGATATAAACTTATAAAATAGGCAATCCAGTGTGATTTGGTTGATTTTTTAAAAAGTGTGAATGGTAAGAGATCTTGAATTTGAGTCATCTCGACCACAAGAGTTCGCACCAATTTGGTGAGTCAAGGGGAGAGCTACCTTTATTGCCGTAATCTATCGTGTTATTTCGGGTTATTGAGGCTCATAATGAATAGAAAAACTTATAAAATCGGATAATAAAAGCTAATTAGTCAATTATGTTTAGTTTTGTTAGGCTTTTTTTATTTATTTAGAGAGTGAGAAGTCTCAAATTCGAATTCTTTTGACCACAAAAGTCTATAATTTTGATGAATAAATAAGAGAAATTTGGTGAGTAAAAGATAAGGAATAACTTATACTGTGTAACCTACAATGTTCTTTTTGCCTGTTGAACCTCTGTACAGAAAAATTAATGGTAAGGAATAACTTTTTTTTTTCCTTTTCCAATTTTCCTCTTAAAAGTTTTCTACGATTTACATGTTTTTATTGTACAGTCAAGTCTTCCATTTTATTTATTTATGATGTTAACACTGGAATAATTAACGAGACTGACTCGTTCAAGTCTTCCATTTTATTTATTTATGATGTTAACACTGGAATAATTAACGAGACTGACTCGTTCAAGTCTTCCATTTTATTTATTTATGATGTTAACACTGGAATAATTAACGAGACTGACTCGTTCAAGTCTTCCATTTTATTTATTTATGATGAGTTCATAAGCTAGTCATCGTACTGGAAAAATAAAATAATATATTATGAAGACGTGAAGACCTTACAATATATTTATATTAATTGGGTAATTAAATATTTAATTTTAAATAAAACTATTTTAAGTACGGTGTTAGTTGGGTAGTTTAGCTTAATCCCTTGGAAGTATCCTTCTGATTCCCTTTCCCTTGATTGTTTTATTTTTGTTCTACAGAGATAAGGATATAAAAATAAATTAGATTTTATAAGTTCATAGCAAATTAATCAATATAAACTCAAGTTTATAAGGTTCGGCTTTTATTTATTTATATATTTTTCTCTTATATCAAATATCAAAAATGATATTTATATTTTCTATCATTTTGTGCATGTATTAGAAATTGTTTATAAAAATCCTCGAACTCGTAAATTTTAAGGTTAATATATAATCCGATCGAGTTTTAAATAAAAATTTATTGACCTCCAATTAGTGGCTACTATAATCACAAATTATAAATTATAAATCTAAAATCAATTCCATTGAAATTTGATTAAATAAAATGAATTTGGAAGAAAATGATGTCTCTCACTTATAATAAGATAATAAAACTATTAATCTGATTGAAAAATTACCAAATTAGTTTGACTAAATTAAACTGTTTGAAAATGAATAAATGACGTTTTGGGTTAAGCGGAGAAGCAAGTGCCAAAAAAATTCCATAAAATTAAAATATATAATATTGATTAGTTATTGGTAGGGCATCCATTGGGTAGCAAATAGATCAATTTTTGTCCCTAAAATGAAATCATTGGAAAGGCAGATTTACAAGTTAAAGGCAGCAAGTTATTCATTTCTTAATAAGATCAATTAGAAAAAAAAAAAAATATATAATAAATATATATCCATATACAAATTAAGTGGTACGTTGAGTAAACGACTATATATATATATATATATATATATCATATACAAATTAAGTGGTGACGTTGAGTTACGACTTTTATATGACCCACTTAATTAAATTTTTTATACATGTTGTAATCATATAATTTATTTAAATTTTGTGTCATATTAGAATTCAAATATTTGACGTGACTAATGAAGTTCATGTTAACTCTAATCGCATTACCATTTTAAGTCAATATAATGCAAACACGATCCATCAATCTATTTTGACATCCCACATACAGGAGTTTGCATTCTGACGGTTCGGTTTCAAAATTATATATTTTTGATAATTGATCCAAATCATTCTAGAATAGAAATCAAATCAAATTGAATCGTACTTTTTGATTCGGTTCGGTTATTTGAATATCCAAACTTTTTTATTTCATATTAAATTTTAAATGTTGGCCAAAATCTGAAAATTCTAAGTTAAAATTAAAAGGTATAGTTGGTGCAAAACCATGCTGTATTCAAACTTGGTTCATCAAACTTTCTTTCTCTAAAACCAAATTAAACCTAAAAATCAAAATTTCTTCAAATTAAAAACCATATCCGAATTAAATAACCGAAAAACTGAACCAAATAATCAAACTCTATTGATTCAGTGCAATTTTTTATTTTTTCTAAAGTTTATTCATCCCTCCCTGCAGATGTATGGATAGACATTGGTATTCATATAAATATAGATGTAAATAAATATTAATTTACTTTCCACAGTCTATTATAAAAAAATAAAAAATTGTCAAAAAATAAATTAATAAATAAAGAGAGGGAAAAATTTTTTTAACTTTGTTTTTGTTTCAATTTATATATAGATATAATTATAGAATATAGATTATCCGCAACAAACTCTTTGTTCAAATCAATTAATAAACAGAAACAAAGAAAAAGCGAAAATAATTCATTAGGAGACCATCTGGATCTGGGTTTCAAACTGGGCCTGCCACATAGTCCGTATTCAGAATTTGACCCAAGAATGCGATGATGCGAACCCATTTGTCTGCTCCATGAACCCACGAGGATGATGCAATCATTCTTTAGACAATAAATGTAAATTGAAAAAGCTGAAATTTTGTAGATGCAAATAATCAAAATGAAAATTAAAATCGAATTAATAAAAATCGATTTAAAATAAAACTAAAATTGATTATCAAAAATCTCAGATGTAGTTCAGTAATTCGATTTTTTTTTTTTTTAAATGTCGTGTCTTCCAAATCATTTTTTAAAGAGATTTCACTTTTTTTTATTTAAAATTTATATTTTGTGATTATATTTAGAAGATCTAACAAATAAAAGTTTCATAATGTAGTGGGATAAGTAGCATTTTTGAAAAATCAAAATAAGGAGAAAATATAAATAGTATTTTGATTAAAATGATATTACTAAACACTTTATAGGTATGACCATGGTTCCATAATCATGGATTTTAGTTTCAAATCCGTCACCATTTATAACAATGATGGACTAGAATCGAACTATTTTTACATAATTTTTAAAATGATCTTGGACTTGCCAATTTCACTTCCACTCTTATTTAACACAAAATTAAATAATCTTTTTCAAACTTTTTGATTTTTACTAAAAGTTTTAAAATTTATTTTAAAAATTATAACAAAAGATAAAATTTTCAAAATAAATTGAGAATTGAAAAGATTTTTTAGAGCTTCAAACCGGAAACCATTTATTTTAAAATTGTTTGTTTCGGTTTAAAAAAAAAAAATGAAGAATTCGAACTATAACATGAACACTTGATTTCAGTTACCTTTGAAATCGAAAAGTATAGTCATAATTCAATTCATTTTAAGTTTAAGAATCGAAATCAATGGAACCAAATTTAAAACCAAATGATAATTCAATTTCAGTTTTGAATCTTCAATTCTTCAATTATAGTTCCAATTTTAGTTTCAGTTCTCCTGTTAAAAATGAATTCATTATTCTCCACATTGATACTCCATTCTTTTAAATTGAAAACACAGAAATTTAATAATAATAAAAAAACATAGAATAGAATCGATAAATAATAAAGAAATACACAATCTATTAGAAAATTAAAATCGATTACATAATAGAAATTGACTTGCTCAAAATTAAAGATAGAGAAAATAGATTAATCCTTCATTCCTTGAGACAAGAAAAGCAATGGAAACTATTATTCGATAAACAAAATAGTAGGACGGTGATGAAAATTGAGAATGCAGTGCAGAAAAAAAAGAAATTTGAAATTTGATTATCTTTATCTTTGTGATTATGTGCTTGTTTTAAACTATAGATTGACGTAGTCTTGATGTTGGTTAACATTATTAATTATAATTATTAGTAATTACAATACTATTTCTATTTTTTAGCAAGATAATAATTATTGTTAGAATTATTTATTATAATAATATTATATATAATATTAAGGACACATGTTATTAGAAACGTTATATTTACGAAGTATAATATATTAAAATATTAATGATAATTAGATTAATTATAAGTATAGAATGAAATATAATAACAATACAAATTATGATTAGAAAAGCTATAATTAAAACACTATTAGATACTAAAACAGTTATATGTTTAATTAATTGTAATTTTATAATAAATATAAACAATTATACATACAATTATATATACCAATTATATATATATAATATAACATAATAATATTAATAATATAATAATATTATTTAATAATTCATAAGTTATAATATAAAAAAGATTATACAGGAAAGATGTGTGTCTAAACTGAAAATTGGTTTAAATTTAAGTTTTCTCATAAATATCAAATTCATCACTAATTAATAAATATAATATCTATTAATATTTATTACTAAATAGTAATATAATTTTTAATTAAAATAATAAACTTTAATAGTTTTTATAAAGTTTTAAATAAATAACATATTTAAAAATTAAAAATAGGTTTAAATTTAATTTTTCTCCATAAAAATCAAATTCATTATTAATTAAAAAATAGAATGTATTTTAATATTTATTACTAAATATTAATATAATTTTTAATTAAAATAATAAAATATAATAGTTGTGATAAAGTTTTAAATAGATAATATATTTAAAAATAAAAATGCATATTTTTATTTGGTTTTCAATTTGGTCCGGTTCGGTTCCACACTTTGGTTCGGTTCAAATGAACCATTCATAGCGAAACCCTAGCTGGCTATTTGTAGCTGTATATAAGGTTACAAGAACAAGAAAACCTGTTAGGGTTTTTGGTGCGGCTTCTGAACATTTTCGAAATCAGGTTAGTTCACATCCGGAATTTACAAAGATGAAGACTATATTGTCATCGGAGACTATGGATATACCCGATGGCGTTAAAATCAAAGTTAACGCCAAGGTTATAGAGGTAGAAGGGCCTAGAGGCAAGCTCACTCGCAACTTCAAGCACTTGAATCTTGATTTTCAGCTCATCAAAGATGAGGCCACTGGGCAACGGAAACTCAAGATCGAAGCTTGGTTTGGATCCAGGAAGACCAGCGCCTCCATTCGCACCGCCCTCAGCCATGTTGAGAATTTGATCACAGGTGTCACCAAGGGCTATCGCTATAAGATGCGATTTGTCTATGCTCACTTCCCTATCAACGCCTCCATTACCAATTCCAACACAGCTATTGAGATCCGCAACTTCCTTGGCGAGAAGAAGGTATTTCTATCTTCTCATTTTCTAAGTGTTATTAATATCCATTTCTGTTAATGGATGAATAATGAGATATCCGAACTATTCAGATTGGCATACCCATAGGGTTTTCATATGGAATGAATTAATTTTCATTAAAAAATAAAGTAAATGAACTTTTCAGTGTTTGTAATACCTCTATAATTCATTTTAAATAGATAGCTTTATTACATGGTACCTAGAATTTATTTGCCCTTGTAGTCTACCTTTGTTAATTTTAGAATTCATTTGCAAATTCTATCAATTTTATTAGAATTTGATTCAAGCTAATTCCATAGGATTAAATATATTTAGTTCTAAATGATGTTTCGTTTATAGCAAATATGAAATTTGCATGTGAAAATGAATTTCATACTTCATGGAACATAAACTATATAGGGTTTTGTGGGTTTTGGACTAATGGAACACTGGAAATCCAAATATATTATAACACAGAAAACATACCGACTCTCTTTGTAAGATTATTTGATTTGTGGTATCTTACTGTATTTGGTTGTTCAGGTCAGGAAAGTTGACATGCTGGAAGGTGTCACTGTTGTTCGGTCAGAGAAGGTTAAGGATGAGTTGGTATTGGATGGCAATGACATAGAGCTCGTGTCACGTTCTTGTGCCCTCATAAATCAGGTATCTTTATCTTTCTCCTTCAAGCTTTTTTTTTTTATTTTTTGAGAACATTTGTTGATGTATATCTTCTGTGGTCATGCTTAATGTACACTAGCATAGAATCAATTCTTTCTATATGAATGATTCTTACACTCTTGTATTAACCTTTGTTTTTGACAGAAATGCCATGTGAAGAAGAAAGATATTAGGAAATTCCTTGATGGCATCTACGTCAGCGAGAAGGGCACTGTAGTTGAAGAAAATTGAGAGCAGTAGTTCTACTTATCTTTATTATTGCTTTATTCAGGGGTTTATAGTTTTTGTTATCTGAATGTAAGGATATATTTTTGGTTGTTTTCTAGGAATTCTTGAATTACCAATTTTTGATAATTGCAACCTGTTATGTTTTATGTGTTGGATTGCTCTTGAATTTTTTATCTATGAAGACGACCTCTACGCATTTCGGAAGTGAATTATGGGAAATTCTTATTTGTTGGAATGGATTGAGATTAAACTTCAGTTTTATTCGTTACATTGTGAACATGGTGTGGCTAAATATATTAGCGTCATGGTTGGTCTACTCTATGCAATGTGTACTATGTGGGTTTACTATGAGTGTATACACATGCTATGAATAATTATAATTTTAGTTATAACTGATTAAGGAAAATTTATTTATTTTTATATTATTTCTTAAATTGCTTCCATTTGGAATGGATATGTTGCAACTGGAAAGATGCTCCATGTTTTTTAAGCCTTCTTTGGGAAGAAATTATCATCTGGCTTTCATCGGCCGTGGTACAATACAAGTGTGATGCTCTTTTCTAGTTGTGTATCACAACTTATCTTTTGAAAGAAAGTATTTAGCTTGAGCTGCAGCCTTGGAAGTCAAACTCTGGAGGTTGCTAGTGCGTGCTTATGAAATTGCAGTCTATTGTTGGTGATGACAGTAAGTTTCTCAAACGCTTCATGTGCCTTACTACTATTGGTTTGATCTGAGTGTCTCTTTTGTGTGCTAATCAAAGTGCAAGTTAGTTGCTGCTTCGTAATCAAAATCCAAATTTAAGGTAGCATTTTGGGTTCTTTAGACAAGCCTAGGTGTGTTACTAATGTTGAGGCTAAAGCGCTATGATCTTTTATTTATTTATTGAAAAAAGACCTAGTTGGGTTGAAAGGTTGCAGATTTTTGGTCTTGAAACTAACAGTCAAAAGAACATTTTTATGTGGTAGTACTTGTCATATTGCATGCATCTGAGGTCAGACATCTAGGCTCAACCTTTTGCAAGTGTCTGAAATTGGAATTAAATCAGCGTGGAAATGGTTTTGCTTGTTCTTTTTTGAAGATAAAGATCCGACCTTTTGTTTCAGAAAATATTTTTCTTGGAAGAGCTAGATGTCATTCATGTTTACTTTCACTTGTGAAATTTGCTCAATGCGATGCAATGTAATTTATTTTGTATATTTTAGTTTTTTGCATTTATTTTTGTATGTGTTTCCTCTTTGGTTGACTAGTGAAGTTCACTAGTAGCATGGATGGTTGTTCTCATCACAGCAACAAATTGATCACAAGGTATGCTTCTTCTTTCTTGACCGGCTTTCACCTTAACTGCTGGTGTATTCTAGGATTTGAGACTGTTTTCTGATAGCAAGCCTATGTCCTGCTAGGATGAAGGCTCTGGATGTGGTTTGTGTGACACAGTTAAGACTCTGAAATTGGAATCTACCTCAATGAGAATGTTCCATAAATCGTTAATTAAATTAGGCATTAAGGAACGTTTTTCTTTGGGGTGCCAACAGTTCAAATAAAAGCATAGATGGGAGTTGAATGCTATAAGTGATGTCTAAATATTGTAAAGAGCCAATGATCAAAGGGAGAGTCAAGAAACCATAAAAATTTAAATTTCTTAGGATTTGTTTTGATACCTGGAAAATTTTCGAGTGATGCTATTCGGCTCATGGTGAGCTTGCTCAATTCCACTTTTTGCATTTACAAGGACCAAAATGTCTTTAGGCACGTTTGAGAAGATTTTGGTGAGAAAATTTTGTTAGGCAAAAGGAAAAGGTTGCGTTTACCCTTTGTGGAAAGAACAATAAGGAAAATATTGGAGGAAAGAAAATGACAGAAGAAAGAATTGTTTGCTTTCTTTTCATAGTTATTTTCCACACTATAGTTTGGATTTGGATATAATGAAAAATAGAATATAAATTTATTTTCCTTTGCTTGAAACAGAAATATTTTAGGAGGAAAATAAATTTTATTTTTAATATTGACGATTGGATCCTTACAAAATAAATGTTATTATTGAAATTGACAATTATATTCATACTTAAATTTTGGGTATTTAAGAAAGAATTAAAGTTTGTCAATTAACTTGGAGTATTTGGATAATTTAATAAAAATGAGTGAAATTTCTATTTTTTTTTTCCATTATTTTCTCTTCAAACGAGAGAGATTCAAAATATATGGGCTCGGGTAGAAAATAATTAAAGTATTAATTCTTCTAATATTTTCTTCATCTTTTCCTAACAAATGGAAATATCTTTCCCTTAATATTTTCCTCCAGTTATTTATTTTCCTTCAGAAAGTACACCCATCCAAATAAAAATGGGTGAAATTTCTATTTTCTATTTTTTTTTTTCCATTATTTTCTCTTCAAAATGGGAGAGGTTCAAATTATGTGCGCTCCAGTCCTTTACGCATACTCCTTTCACTGGTGGCCATACAAAGGCAATTGTTTTCTTTAAAATTGATTGGCTTTTCTGTTAGAAACTTACAAACCAAACACAGCTGGAAATCAGAATCTATTTTCACCTGGCGCACGCGCACCATCCTCTTCTTATGCAAAAAAGCCTTCTCCATCCCATTCCAAATCGAAACAGTGATCAATCTCTTCTTATGTTTACCTTCATTTTTTTCACATAAATTCTTGTAGCATCCTAAACTCTGTCAAGACTAATTATGACATTAAAATTAAAAATTTTAGTAATAATATACATTACACTCGAGCAATAATAATTTTTAACTTTTTAGTTTTTATATTTGCAATATCGATTTAATATGCAGTTAATATAATTTTATATATTTGTTGAAAGGGTCATAAAGTATTAATGGAACGAAATTTTACATGTTTGTTGAATGGGTCATAAAGTATTAATGGAACTTACTATCTCTTCTATGGCTTAGCCAAATACGATTATCCTAATTTCTTAGCAAATTTTTATTGTTGCTCAAATATAGTAATTAATTCAACACTTCTATTATTATTATTACTTATGCAACTTTCATAGAAAAGTTGAATCCCGATGACTTACCAAATGCCGTAAAAACAAAAGTATTATAAATTGAAAAAGGCTTTCTCTATTTTTTCTCTAGATTTCTAACCCTAATTTTAGTTTTCTACCTCCTACTTTCTATTATTTCTTTCGCTTCACCTTCTTTTATTTTTAATCTTTTCTTGCTGCAATAAACTCATCTGTTTTTCTTATAACATATCTTTTTTTTTTTTTGAAGTTTTTTCGCCCCTTATTTATGAGGGTACTCCCTTCTTTGCGACGTTTTATTACTAAATAAAACTATGATATTTGGTTTTATTTGGTTGGAGACTTTAGATCTTGATTTGCAGGTGTGGATTTTCATCGATGAGCTTGATAGTGCGGTCTGTTCCTCCATGATGCTATTGACGCATAGCGGCGGAATCTCATTTGTATTCGTCATATGTTGCAAATTATTGAAAAAACAATCAAGTTATAGAAGATCTAGAGGAATTATTATTTTGACTTCCGAATCAATTAATGGACTAGTTGCTGTTATGAAGATTTATATATTTTGTCAAGATCAACTCCAAACGGAAAGATATAATATTATACTTCTTAGTTTTAGTTTCATTATTCAAAAGGATATTAATTCATTTGATTCGTTCAAAAGATCAGCGAATTCTATTAACTATTAATAGTAAAGTTTTATATGAAGATTTTTAATATTTTGTCAAGATCAAACTCAAACGAAAGTTATATATTATACTTCTTTAGTTTTAGTTCATTATTTTCAAAAGTGATTATTAATTCATTTTGATTCGTTCAAAAGAGATCAGGAATTCTATTTAACTATTAATTAAGTATAAGTTTATATTAGTTTTAGTTTCATTATTCAAAAGGATATTAATTCATTTGATTCGTTCAAAAGATCAGCGAATTCTATTAACTATTAATAGTAAAGTTTTATATTTGGTCTATATTTTTATTTGTAATTCTTGATAATGTATTAATCAATTACATTTTCAAAAAAAAAAAGAGTGCAAGTATTCATTATTTACGTACTTATTCACGGGTAATATGAAAATTTGGTCAAATGTATATATTCCACCGCCCTAGCTGAATATTCCAATTTATAAAATTTCACATATTTAATATTTAACTTGCATAATTATTTATTGAATATTGTAATTTATAAAATTATAGCTATTAACCACTTATTAGATAGTTGAAAATGTTAAAATTATTATTCTAATAGTTGTACTAATCAAATATAAAATTAATATTTTGCATATGAAAATACAGATTACCAAAAAATATTACTACTATTATGGAGATATGTATAATATTTCTAAAATCTCGTTTGAAAAAAATGAATTCCATAAAATTTTATAGAATCCATTTGAAAATTTCAAATTTTGTTTGCAATGAAAAAGAAATTCATACTTGAATTCTAAAAGTTGAATTTTACAAAATTTGAAATGCCTAACTCAAATTCTACTAAAATTAGTAAAATTTTTAAATAAATTGCACAAAATTAAACCATTTAAATTTTATAGTGACAAAACCACCATTTATTATAGATAATTATTTCCTTTTCTATTTTTATTTTTTTTAAAGAAAATTCCAAACTAAATGTTGTATCGAGCCCTGTAAACAATTATTTCCAAATATAATTAAAAACAGTAATAACCTTCTTGAATATTTCTGTATTTTTCAAATTAATTATTTAAATGGACAAGTCTTTTTACACCAATTAAAGATAACTACTATAATGAATGTTACTACATATAATTAATTAATTAATAAGAATTAATTAATTAGATGAGATGTGAGCATATTTATTTATATGACATTTATTATTTGTATTTTAATAAAAAAAAGTTTTTTTTGAAATAAAAAAATAACAAGTTATATTATTGGTTTTTGTTAAATTATTGTGTTAATGTCTTTTAAGAAATAAAGATAAATGAACATTCATTTAAGAATTTATTCCAAATATAATATATTTTAAAATGAATTCTAAATTTATTTACAAATAAATTCTACATTAATCGTTCATTTATTCTAAACATAATATCACAAGATCATAACTTTAAGGTAGGTCTCCTGTAAAATTAAAGGTGACACCAAATTTTTATGATAAAATTCATAATTTTTGCATTTCGCCTCTCTAAATTTAAAGGTGAAATTATATATATATATTTTTTTACTGATTTACTATCGTTGCCAAACAGAGTGCCGTTTACAGACATGACAGTTGCTGAACAGTTTCTACACGGAAGGGGCAGAGGTCCCTCCTTCCTAATTTCCATCAATTAATAATTATTTCATTTCCATTCCAGTTACACGGAACAACAATTACACTAAAAAGAAACCTTCCATGAATTTAATTAAAACTAGTAAATAAATATAGTATAATTACCCAATAATACCAATAATGCTTCTACGTTTCCTTTCTCTCTACACACGGCTTCTCCCTCTCCCTTTTCCACTCTCCTTCTCCTCTGCCATTTCCTGGTACTTACGATTGCACTTACTTTACATTCATTTTTTTTTTTTTTTTTTTTTTTTTTTTTTTTTTTTTTTTTTTTTTTTTTTTTTTTTTGCTTTAAATGCCAATCTTTGTCGACTGTCCTGTTTGATTACTTGGCCAGTGTAGGCTTGTGTTGTTGAAGGAGACAAATGAGTTCTCAAAATTCAATTTCTAAAGTCAAAAGGACTGTTAATTTTCGATTATGCAATGTGTCCAGGTATATTGTTTCTTAATTTTTTTATTTTATCTTCTTGCTGTGATAGTTTATGCTTTTTATTTATTTGATGATTTTGTACTCAGTTACAAAACTGAGTTGCTAGAGATTCGCTCTGATGACCCTAAATTGCATGTTCTCTTTATCCCTGGAAATCCTGGTTAGTTCTTTTTTATGTTTCTGTTATTTTTTTGGGGGGCTTTATGAGACTTGTGGATGATGGGTTTTTTGATTACAGGTGTTGTTTCATTTTATAAGGATTTTTTGGAATCATTATACGAGTTGCTAGGAGGAACTGCATCTGTCACAGGCAATTCTCATGCTTATTCTTTTTTTTTTTTTTTTTTTTTTTTTTTTTTTGTTTTTTTTTTTTTTTTGGGTTTTCAAGTTTTTGGGGGGTTTGGATTGGTTAACTTTTTTTGAAGGCGTTGTTTTGCCGATTGGGTCGAAAGCTATTGGAGTCACAGTATCTGCAGCACAAAAAAGTACTTGGGCTGTTTGTTTAAACAATTGGGTTATTGAGATAGACGGAAGGTTGGCCTTTGAAACTATAATTTCTAGAAGAAATTCTTATCCGGTTAGTGTTTATCAGTGTTGCAATGTGGCTGGGTCAGGAGTTAGTGAGTCTCAATTTTTTCCAGGAGGAAGTAGGTTAGAAGTGGAATTGAATTATCTGGGAGATGCTTGTTATTTTTTGATTTTTTATGGGTTGTTTGTGTATTTTTTTAAGATTGAAAGCTTTTTTTTTTTTTTTTTTTTTTTTTTGGGTTTTTCAATTTTTGGGGTTTGATGGTTACTTTTTTTGAAGGCTTGTTTTGCATTGGTCAACAGCTATTGGACACATATCTCACACAAAAAAGGTACTTGGCTTTTGTTAACATTGGGTTATTAGATAGCGGAATGTTGGCCTTGAAACTATATTTCTAGAAGAAATTCTTTATCCGGTAGTGTTTATCATGTTGCAATGTGGCTGGGTCAGAGTTATAGTCTCAATTTTTTCCAGGAGTATTAAAGTGGAATTGAATTTCTGGGAGATGCTTTTTATTTTTTATTTATTTTTTGTTATTTTTTTAAGATTAAGAACCAATCATTTGTTTCACAGAATGCTTTGAAACATAACATGATATTTAAGAAAATATTTTTCTTGGTAAACCAGATAACTTGTATTTTTTGTTTTACTGAAAGAAAAGGTGGTCTGCGCAATATTGGATTTGTATATATTTCTGTTTGGCTGACTAGTGCAGTTCCTTCGTTAGAACTGGGAGCGTGGAAGGCTGTTCTCATTACAACAACAAATTGATCACAAGGTATGTTTCTTCTTTCTCTACTGGCTTTCAGTGACCTTTGTCGTCTAATATTTTAGGACTTTAGACTTTGTTTTTCGGTTGGAAACCTATGCCTGCAAGGATAATGCATCTGGATGAGTTAGGTTCATTCATGAATTGAAGTTTAATGAACCTTTTTGATCAATCTGCTTGGGCTTTGGTTCGAATGTATGGGTGAAAGAGTTGAGGGTCTGAAATTCAATTCCATCTTAATGAGGAATTTCCCTTGAATCTTTTAATTCATGTAATTCTCATTATATCAACAAACTTGGTTTTTCTTGGGATGCCAACTTTAACTTCCAGTTCAACATTTTATCACCTATTCAAGAACATGACGGATTTTCCTTTAGGCATTACCCATTTCCAAATGGTGTTCTTCTTTAGTTTTGTTGGTTGAAACCACTATACTTGTCTAGTATATTCAGTGCATTGTAATTTCTAGTTGCTTATATAAATTTTTGCAGGTGGATTTCATTGAACAAGAGCGGAAAACTATTGGGGTTCCTATAGTGCTGGTCAGGCCATTTTCTTTTATAATTTCTATCATTTTCCAAAATAAGGTCAACTTATTCATGTACCCTTTCGATTGGAAAACTGAAAATATGAGGAGACGTCCAATCTAGGCCATACTGCTTGTTTGATTAAGTGCAATTGGTTATTTTGAAGGCTTGATCATAAACACATGTAGCTTTTTCAAGATGAAAGAAACACTTCTGATGAAACATTAACATCTTCTCATCACAGGAAATGTTGTTGTCCTTTTTCGGATGACTGGTTGGTGGAAACTTGATTTCCAATTTCTAGTATCATGTGTCTACAAACATGATTGCTTTTTTTTTTTTCCCTCTAGCCATTTATAGAATTATAGAGCCAGAGATCAGCCATTCTTCTGGTGGCTGCTCTAGTTTCCAAATTAAGTTAAAAGTAATTAATGTTATTTTTATTTCTCTGAAAAGGTTGGGCATTCTATTGGTTCCTACATATCCATTGAAACGCTAAGGAGGTCTCCTGAGGTGATGGTTGTTTTGCAAACTTCATAGTTTCGGTACTTGTCATCCTATCTCTTATGGGATTTTCCTTGACATTTAGCACTTGTTTTGTAGGTTAAGTATTTTATAGGACTATATCCGTTTCTAATGCTGAATCCTTTATCAGAGAAGCAGACTAAGATAAAGAAACTTGCAGAGTAAAGCTCTTTCTTTGTTTGAGCAACATTATTCCCCCTCCTATTAGCAATCATATGCACTGTGGTTATGAAATTACTCTCTTTTTTGGTTACTTGCTTCAGATGCTAAATAACTGTCTCTTTGATGATTCTTTCCTAGGGTTCATCTCACTGGTGATATAGGATAGGAAATAGAGGTTTTGAATAAACAGCAAACATGATGTAGACATCTGCTTTAAATTGTTCATTTTAAGGGATGTAACAGCTTTGGAAGGAAGGATGATATATTATAGATTTTAGGGCTGATTTGTAGCTGCAAATCTGCACTTTGAAAGTTGAACAATATGTGTGAAGAGTGCTTTGATGAAAATCTTTGTAGCATCTGATGCTAAATGATGCTGGAGTTGGTCAGGATTTTCAATGGACATTTTTGGATATAATGAATTGTACATTAAATCTGAAATTTGTGTAGATTGGCTGCCAGTTTGAAGGAATACGAGGATTCCAAACTTCACACTAGAATTTCCATTAGAGTGTCACTTATACTCATGTTGGCATCATGCCTTGGATAAGAATTACATCGTGAATTTCTAACAGGGCTCAAATGTGACAAATGCTTTTGTAAATCTGATATTCGCTTCTTTTTTCAATTTGTTGATAAGCTGCAATAATCCTAATGCTATAAGAACTGGATGCCTCAGTAGAATAAAAAATAAAAAATAAAAAATCTTGGAAATCAAATGAATAATTACATGAAATGTTCTCTATTGTTATTTTTTCTTTGTCTTGATCAGGTCAATTTTCCAGTTGATATAGGTTGCAGAATTAATATAAATTGGCTGATTGAGTTTAATTTATAGCTGTAGGAATGACCAGCTCTTTTCACTCTCTGTTGGCCATCATTATTTTGTCCATAGGTTTCTGTTTGACTAGTATTACTGTTTTCTCAATTTTGACTTTTGTCATTATACTTGTTACGCTTGATAGTTCTATGGTAGAATTTGTGAATTTTCAGGTCCTCTATTCGGTCGGATTTGCTTAGTTTCAGTATAGCATCATTGGGTGTGTTACCTAGGTGTATTTCAAGAATAATTGTGTCAAATTCTATTGGAAAATCATGGTCTGCTACTGCTGTTGATGCTGCTTGTAGTCATTTGCTACAGGTATGATCTTGTTTTTCTTGTATAGATAGTAGTTTCCTTCATGGCCTGTAAATATGCTTCAAACAGGTTTTGAACCATTTGAATGTCTTGCTGCATGTTTAATCTACTCTCTTTTGTGACATACATGCAGTGACATTGATTTTCTTTTTAACTAATGTTGATAACAAGTTAGGTATTCCGTATCTCCATAATTTGGATTTGTAAATTGATTTTCATTTTATATTTCATATATTGACAGTACCATTCGTTTCGGAATATGATCTTTATGGCACTGACAGAATTCAGAAAGGTACTTTTGTTTGCTTATGGTGTTAATGATGTGTGGTTGTAAATTGTAGGATTCATAGTAGGCTTTTTGATATCTCCTTAAAAGGTATTCAAAAATGACTGCATTATGTTTGGATCAAATAAGTTCAAGAAAAACTTATGCAGTCCACTTGAATTCTCTATTTGTATATTTGGACCACAAAAATATTCATATGGAATTTCAAATTTTCATTTCCATGGAACACATTGTTCTTGGATTTGATATAAATCCTGTCAAAATTGATCAAGTTCTAGAAACAAATTCCATGTACCACTTACTGCAAGATTTATTAGACTTGAATAACTCCATTTAGTTAAAGCAACACCTTAATTTTTTTTTTTTTCAATTGCTAGATTTTTCTATATTAACACATGTAAGCTCCATAGGTAAATGAAATATTAAACTCAATCAACTAGTTTGTTGCAAACGCAATATTTATATAAATTTGATTGAGTTATAATTATCAATATATGTAGCATACTAAACATGAAAATTCTATCACAAATGATTTTGCACTAAAGAATTCATTAACAAACGAAATGAATTCCTTGTTCAATTGTTTCCAAATAGAGTGTGGATTACAGGATGGAACATTAGATCACAATTTATTGTTTGCCAATCTTTTTTCTATTGATATGGAAAACAGTTTTAATGCTCACCGTTACTTCAATATTGATAATGCAAAACTCAAAAGTTCTTTTTTTGCTTATAGTTTTCAGTATTTAACAACCAAACATATCTAGCATGTGGATTTATAGTAATTAACAACCTCTACCTGCTTGAATCATATTATGCAGAAAGATACGATCTTAATTGGAAAACTAATGATGTACTTTTCTTTTCTTTTTTTGTTCAATACTGTCTGTCCTCTCACAGGTACACATATGCTGCTTCTACTCCAGCAAAAGATTTTAGCGGACAGCAATGTTTGCATGAGATTGCTGAAGTATGTCTGTCATCCTGTCTTAACGGTTGTTCTTTCATGTTAGCTTTCTGAAACACCAAATTGGGAATTCATGAGAGAAAATCAGAGTAAAATGGCATTCTTGTTTGGTGTCGATGATCACTGGGGTCCACTGGAGATGTTTGAAGAGGTGAGTGATGGATTCTCAATTTCTTGTCAATATTGCATCCTTTTAAAACCTTCAATAGAATATAGTGTACATGTGAAGTGCTTGCTTAGCCTATGTGGAGTATAGAGTCATCATTTAAGATTGTATGGTCAAGCACACATTTCTTTGTAACCTATAGAATGATTAAAATTTGTGTTTTCCCCTTCTACCCTTTGAGGTTACTTGCCACTCTCTTTGGTTAAATTGGAAGAGGCATGGTAGGGATCACATGAAGTCTGTTCTGAAATGTTATGGCTGATAATTTGGCCACAGTATGAGAAACATGTTAGCTGCCATGAACATACAGGCTTTCCGTATACCAGGCCAAGTAAATTTCTTTTGGTCTTAAATATCAGGCTCATTTTGCTCGACTTCACAAGCAAAGGAGCAATCGGATGTCCTACCTGGGCCTATATGATGTAACTAACAAATGGATGTCTGTGGTCAGACATCTTATAATGTTAATGTGAATGGGATCTTAATAATAGTTAGTTCCACATATTCTGTAACTAAATGAATAGCTTGCTAGTTTAATGAGTTTTTTCCCCTTGAAATTCATTACAATAGGATTTTGGTAAACTATTTATCATGTCGGGATTGGATATTTGCAAGAATTATTGTGAGCATAACCACTCAAGAAGCATCATATGAAGGTGGCAATAACAAAAAGAGCTTCACAACAATATTTATGATGATAATGTTGACTACTGCAAGATAGTTAAATTGCTCATGGAAATTCTTGGTCATTGCTTTTCTTTTAAGTGGACTTTCTGGGCTCATGCTGAACTCACCTTTTTACTTATAGATTGCAAAGCAGGTACCTGGCATTACTCTATCGATCGAAAGGGAAGGCCATACTCATAGTTTCTGTTGCACTGAGGCAGGTTCATCATGGGTGGCACAGCACGTAGCAAACTTGATAAAGAATCAAATATTAGGCTCATGCTAGTATGCTGTTTATTTTGCCATATTTTTTATAATTCAAGTGATTGATCTCATGATTGCTGGGCAATTAGGTCGCAGATGATCATTATCTCCCATTCTTTTATATTAACATTTTAAAATAAACCATCTTCCTGTAAGTTAGTATTGCATTTTGGTTTGTATTTTCTGGAAATTGAATCCATTTGTATATTTCTGTGTAGGATTGTGGAAATATGGATGTTTTTTATTTATTTATTTGTTATCTTGAACATGGAAAGTATTTCTATATCTTAAATTAAGTCAGCAAATTGTCTTGCACATAGCAGTAGTGAATCAGCATATGCTTTAAATCAGATTGCATCTCTGATTTGCCTCTGGATGTCAAGAACTTAATATTTCATAATCTTCTAGAGAAGATGATTATCAGAGAAACTTATACTAAGAAATCACTTTATACTTAGTTAAAGATTTCCCTAACCTTGAAATCAAGTACGGGATCTAATGAGTGCCCCAAGCTAATTGGATGGAGTTAATATTATATATATATAGAGAGAGAGAGAGAGAGGGAGAGAGAGAGGGGGTTGCAATGTTCATCGGTGGCCTATCCCTTTTGCTCGAGGACATATTTTTCGGTGTTAGCAAAATGCAAATGTAAAGGTTTGGAGCAGTGGTGTGCCTGTTGTCCTTTGAACTAGTAGGTATAGGGTTGAGCAAATGATTGGTTTGGTTTGATCGGGATCAAAAAAATATAAACTGAAGTTTTTTGTCGACAAACCAATCTGAAATTGCCTCGGTACTCATAGGCATAGGGTTGAGCAAATGATCGGTTTGGTTAGAGTGAGATCAAAAAATACAAACTGAAGTTTTTTGTCAACAAATCAAACTGAAATTGCCTTGGTTCGTTTAGTTTTGATCGGTTTTACCATCTCAATTCGATTTTAAGTTCAACCCATAAATTTTTACGAAACTAAATCGAATCAAAATATAAATTTAGTTCAAACTGAATAAATCGATGATCGAATCTTTATTTAGTTGACCGAACTAAAATGAGTCGGTTCGGTTGTGTCGATAAGTCAGCACACCAAGTTTGAATGCCCTATATATAGGGGTGGCCACAGTTCCGGAACCGCTAGTTTCGGTTCCAGAATCGATGGTCTTGATTTCAAAAAATCTGGAACTGGAATCAAACTGGAAACTGTTAGTTCCAATTACGATTTAGAATCGGAAGCTTAAGATGTTTAGAATAAAGTAGTAGTTGTGCTTAACAGAATTTGGTTAGATTTTCAGAAACAAGTAGTAGTTGTGCATAAAAAGAACGTGTTCCAACTTGTTTCACGGGGGGCTAAACCAAAGAGATCACAAAGAACTTTATCAAGAACTAGACACATGAGATGACCGTATAGAAAATACATGAGATAACCGTATGGAAAATCTCTTGAATCATTTTCATGTGGCATGTTGTTGTTGTTGTTGAATGTTGATAGAGAAAATTGTTGTCCCATGCATTTCTGAAGCAGTTCTTGCCAACAAATATAATGTTCACTAAGGTGTCTAAATATTAGCAAGTCCTTGTCTTATGATCAAAAAATAGGGAGACGCCAATTGTTGATAGAGAAAATTGTTGTCCCATGCATTTCTGAAGCAGTTCTTGCCAACAAATATAATGTTCACTAAGGTGTCTAAATATTAGCAAGTCCTTGTCTTATGATCAAAAAATAGGGAGACGCCAATTGTTGATAGAGAAAATTGTTGTCCCATGCATTTCTGAAGCAGTTCTTGCCAACAAATATAATGTTCACTAAGGTGTCTAAATATTAGCAAGTCCTTGTCTTATGATCAAAAAATAGGGAGACGCCAATTGTTGATAGAGAAAATTGTTGTCCCATGCATTTCTGAAGCAGTTCTTGCCAACAAATATAATGTTCACTAAGGTGTCTAAATATTAGCAAGTCCTTGTCTTATGATCAAAAAATAGGGAGACGCCAATTGTTGATAGAGAAAATTGTTGTCCCATGCATTTCTGAAGCAGTTCTTGCCAACAAATATAATGTTCACTAAGGTGTCTAAATATTAGCAAGTCCTTGTCTTATGATCAAAAAATAGGGAGACGCCAATTGTTGATAGAGAAAATTGTTGTCCCATGCATTTCTGAAGCAGTTCTTGCCAACAAATATAATGTTCACTAAGGTGTCTAAATATTAGCAAGTCCTTGTCTTATGATCAAAAAATAGGGAGACGCCAATTGTTGATAGAGAAAATTGTTGTCCCATGCATTTCTGAAGCAGTTCTTGCCAACAAATATAATAGTCCTTGTCTTATGATCAAAAAATAGGGAGACGCCAATTGTTGATAGAGAAAATTGTTGTCCCATGCATTTCTGAAGCAGTTCTTGCCAACAAATATAATGTTCACTAAGGTGTCTAAATATTAGCAAGTCCTTGTCTTATGATCAAAAAATAGGGAGACGCCAATTGTTGATAGAGAAAATTGTTGTCCCATGCATTTCTGAAGCAGTTCTTGCCAACAAATATAATGTTCACTAAGGTGTCTAAATATTAGCAAGTCCTTGTCTTATGATCAAAAAATAGGGAGACGCCAATTGTTGATAGAGAAAATTGTTGTCCCATGCATTTCTGAAGCAGTTCTTGCCAACAAATATAATGTTCACTAAGGTGTCTAAATATTAGCAAGTCCTTGTCTTATGATCAAAAAATAGGGAGACGCCAATTGTTGATAGAGAAAATTGTTGTCCCATGCATTTCTGAAGCAGTTCTTGCCAACAAATATAATATTCACTAAGGTGTCTAAATCTTAGCTAGTACTTGTCTTATGTTCAAAAAAATAGGGAGAGGCTGAAGTACCTCTACATCGTTTTGCTCATTTAGGTTTCATAGTCATATTATTTCTTGGACCATTTGGAATAGGTGTAACCCATTTATCTCCCCATGCTCTGACCCTGTTGAGTGGATTCCTTGCTGTTATATCAGTCAATATAGTTATTGCATTTTATATCTATATGGCAATGAAGGAACCTTCAGAGAAACACAAACCGGATCCTAAGTTTGTTTCAGACGCCAAAGCCAGTGCAAGTCAGCTTACAGGTAAAGCTGAGGAATCTTCTTCCCAATCCTTGAAGAAACAAGAGTAGGATAGCCAGAAACAATTGGGATAGCCAGTCTAATTAAGTTCAGGTTTGGCTTCTGATCATTAGAAGGTTGAGTTACAACAATGTCATTCGATCTAGTTGTTAGGAATGAAGTTCGACGCAATTGCGAATTTCATAATTGTGATTTTCTGAATTTTAATGTATATTATCTATTGGCATGTTTACTGTTTTGATCTCATTTTTTTCATCTGCGGTAGCAGTGAATGAATTTTTAACAATTGTGAGCTATTTTTCATGAAATGTTGACAGAATTGCAATCTTGGGATCATTATTAAATAATTTTTCAGATTGAAGACTTCTTTTTGGGTTAAATATAACATAACCCAAAAACAGGATTATTCAAATTAAAATTCCTTGTGCAGTTCATCCGGCTTGGTGATTTATTAAAGATAAATCTTGCTCTATTGAAATTGATGGGTAAGCAGGTTGAGTCTCGACTCAAATGGAATAAAGGGAGAGAAATTCTGCATATGCACGGAAAAGTTGATATTGAGAGAATAATCAATGATAAATTCTTATAATTGTATTATATAAACTATTCTGTAAATATATTTAGCAAATTTGCTATATAAGCTATTGTAAATTTAATGTAAATTATTTATTACATAAGGGGAAATGGTATTCTTTTTTCTTATTTTCTTTTTTCAGTAATTGAGCCAACTTGTAATTATTAATGGTATTAATATTATCAAAATAAATAGGACCAATAAGGAATTAGATTAGCTATGCAACTTTTATTAATAAATTAGTTTAATAGTTTAAAAAGATATTGGACTACACAGTATGATAAATAATTTTCTTAACGTAATTTTCTAGTTAAATCACAAAATTAATTAAAACTCTCTTGATTGGGATTTGGGACAACTTGAACCTCATGCCTTTATGTACATTCTTAAAAAAAGCAATGCATGTGCTAATTTCTTGGCCGAATGGAGTCATTTGGTAGGTGAATCAAAGTTACATTTGTTAGGTGATGCAGCTGCCACATTTCATCCCCGGCCCTAGTGATATTTCATATTTGTCTTTGTTTTGGATTTCTTTTGTTTCTTAATTTCTCTACTGTACCTAAAAAAGAGAAGACCAACCCCCAACAAGAATGACAAATGTGACCGTTGTTTATAAAAATTTCGGGTGACCAAAATAATGTGGTTGTAAAACTATTTACCAAATAGTGTGATTCTAAATTATTTATCAAAATAAGGCAATTTTTATTAAAGAATTCCAATAAATTTCAAGGAATATGAAAATATATATAGCACAAACGGATTCTGTAATAAAAAGCAGCTGTTTGTAGTGTAAGCGGTTTATGTATGAAAAATATTAAAATGTTGCAATTAAATCCTCTTATACTTTAAGCAGATTAGTCAGTATATTGAATCTGCTTGAAGTACAAAGTGCAAACGGAGTCAGTTATAGTGCTTTAATAATTTTTTTATATAAATCGTTTTTTTGGTTACACTAAATTCACTTGTACTATATATTTTTTCATGTTCCTTAAATTTTTTGGAATTCCTCAACACAAACCACGTTATTTTGGTCAAAAAAACAAAACCCTGTGCACGCGGTTCTAATAAAATAGTAAATGTATTAGATATTATCTGATTGATTCGAATCTTTTCAGTTATAAATATTTATTATAAATTTAGTTAATATTATTGAAGGGGAAGGCGGGCATTTAGTAGTAACCTACAAAACAAAATTATTCTAGTACTCCATATAAAAAAAATGTGATTTAAATTATTTAATTAAAAACAAATTGTGATCGTCAAAAAAATAAAAATAAAAATTGTATCTAAAACAAAAATAAAAATAAAAAAAGAAATGCTTCTCCGCCTTCTTTCTCCCGCTTATCGACCATCCTCTGCCCATTCCAGGTAAATTCATCTGTCACAAAATACCTTATGAAAGTTTCCATTTATACGTACAAATTCATTTCTTCTTCAACGTTTAGCTCACGTCCCTCCCGCTTTCTATATCAGTGCGATATCTGGAAAACAGTATAGAGTAAGGTGTGTGAGAAGGAGCAGTATGACTAGCGAGAATTTGTTTTCCAAAGTCAGAAAACCTGCGAATTCCCGTTTGTGCAACGTCTCCAGGCATTTTATTTTCCGTTTCTTGAGAGTTTATTCTAACTTTTTGTACTTAATTATGTTAATTTTGTAATGTATGATTTTATTTTATGCTCAGTTACACAACTGAATTGCTAGAGATTGAAGCTGATGATCGAAAATTGCATGTTTTGTTCATTCCTGGAAATCCTGGTTGTTTTTTTTTTTTTTTTTTTTTTTGTGTACTTGAGATATGTTAATGTTGTGGTAATGTGGATGATTTAATGTGTTAATGCGGCTCAGTGACACAGACGTGAGGATTGCGTAGAGGAGTTGAGAGCTGTGGATGATCGGAAAATTGCATGTTTTGGTGTCAGTTCCTGGGAAATGCCGGGTGTTTTTTTTTTTTTTTTTTTTTTTGATGGTTAATTGAATAATTGAAATTGTTGAGGAGTTTTTTTTTTTTTTTTTTTTTTTGAGTAATTAATAATTGAATTTTGAGGATTAAGAGCTTAATTGTAGTTGAATAATCACAGGCGTGATAGCATTCTATAAGGACTTTTTGGAAGCCTTGTTTGAGCTGCTTGATGGAGTTGCATCCATAACAGGCAATTTTTCAGTCTGACTCTTTGCTTTTGCGTCTTTTCCCTCTCCTAATTTTACCTAATTTGGTTTTACCTTTTTTGTGTATTAGCTATTGGACACATTTCTCATACAAAAAGGGTAATTTTATTTCCATAAATTATTCTTGTCATTGTAATTTTTTTTATTATGAGCTAATTTTTAATGTTAGCAAATTTTCCTAGTAGGACTTTGTTCCTATATATTTGTCTCATTCTCTATGATGTTTGTTGTTCTTAGGACTGGGAGAATGGAAGATTGTTCTCAATGCAAGATCAGATTGATCATAAGGTCAGTTTAGCTCTTCTTGTTTGTAAGGGGTTGTCTATTAAGAAATATAACTTTATTTGCTAGACTAGTAACTTCTTATATTTGTGTCAATTAATTATCAGAAGGATTGTTCTCTGTGGAATCTGTGTCATGGTAATAGAGTTGACAACCAAATATCATCAAACTTCCTTTTCTCCTGTACTGCTAGTTTTAACCCTATATTTAAAAATTAAAATTGATTACCATTGTTAATAATTCTGTAACATTACACAAACCTCTGTACCTTTTTTTTTTCCTGGGAGTGCCATTCTTTTTAGTTTTTGTTAGTCAAACTTTGTTTGTTTTCCAGTATGATATGCAGAATCGTGATTGCCTTTTTGCAGATAGACTTCATCAGACAAGAATTGAGAAATTCTGAGGTTCCTATAATCCTGGTATGATTCTTTGTTTTGATACTTTCAGTATCATCAACATCATTGTCTATCTTGTATTAAGCTGTTCTACCAATATGTGTATCCTAATCATATCATATATATATTATGTAACACACAAACACACACACAATTCACAAACACTAAACAGCATTTGCAAATGCAAGAACAAGATTCTGTAGTATATATATTATCAGTTTTTTAGCTATTTTAGCTTATAAAAAATGTTTTTACTCCTTTGAGTGGTTCTCCATTTTCCCAGTAATAAATTATCTAGGTTTTTTCTGGTTCTGAAATGAATTCTATCACTCTCAATTTCTTTTTGAAGGTTGGGCATTCTATTGGTTCATATATATCTATTGAAACACTGAAGAGGCTTCAGGAGAAGGTGATGTTTGCTTCTCCCAAATTTTTTGTTAGATATCTTGTGTGCTTTGACTTTAAAGGACTGACAATTTATTTCTGGCTTTACAGGTGATATATTGTATAGCACTGTATCCATTTTTAGCATTAAACCCAATATCAACATGGCAGCCTATTATTGGGACAATTGCAGCGTAAGGCCTAGCTCTTTCTTTCTTGTTGTTGTTTCTTTTCTCTCCCTGTCTCATCTTTGCTTGTGCACTATTTACTGGTGACATTGAGAATGTATTCTCTGAGGTCCCTTGTCTTTTGGTTTTGTTTTACTTTTTTCCCATTATTTTTTAGAATGCCCTCAAAAATCATTTCCTCTTTGGTGAACATTCCATAATGAGCATCTGGTTTTTAATAGCCTAGTAACATGAAAAATTAACTGACCTAATTAACTCATAGCTGTGCACAACTGAACTATTTGGTCAATTCATTATTGTAGAAGGATTTTTGTTTAATGTCTATCTGTTTTGTATTATTTATCTTTACACTCTTCTTCTTGTATTCTTAGTTTATGCTTACAATTAATGCATATGGATAATGATAGAAAATTATTTGTTTCAGGTCCTCATTCCTCTCTGCCGTAGTTAGTTTCATTGTGGCATTATTGGGGATGCTACCGAAATGGGCTTTAAGGTTAATTGTATTAAAATCTTTTGGTAGATCTTGGTCTTCTACTGCTGTTGAGGCTGCTTGTAGTCAGTTACCACGGGTATATTTTTGTTTCTAGACAGAAGCTTTGGTTCATGCACTGCAAATTTATTTACTATAGTGCTTAAAGTAAATAATGAATCTTTGCTTGTTTATATATATATATATATATAAATATATATAGTGGCTTCACCGTAGAGGACATTGTAAGCCATAGGCTCACATATTTATGCCAAGAAAAATTATGTGTTCTATATGTATGGGATTTTATATTTCTCTGTGTTGAATTTTTAAAATTTTCTCATTTATATTTCACTTATTTACAGTACCACCTCATGCGGAATGTGCTCTTTATGACAATGACAGAATTCAAGGAGGCACTTTTTCTTATAAGATTAACATTGTAAAATACTGTATTCTAGTGTTTCAATTACCAATCTTATGGAAAACATAAAGATGATCTTGAATTACATCTTCATGTGTAGTTTCATTTTTTCATTTTCTATAACATAAAGCAAACAATTACAAAAGTTTTCTGCATCTCCAGAAAAAATTTAAAATGTCTATCACTTCCAGTTTAGCCTGGTGGAATCATACCACTACTGTGTTCTAATTCCACGCAAAAAGCAATGTTTTTTACATGAACTCCATATCTAGTTTCCATAAATCTAGTTATCTTCAACAAAGTCAGTTTACAGGCTTTCGGTGCTCTGCTGACATCCTAACACAATTAATGCTGACACACTCTGGTCAATATCTTCTTTCCACTTAATTTTGTAGAACTGTATGTGTAAAAATTATATTAATAGCAAATCTACATTATCTAAAACTCAAAAGTGAAGGCAGAAGTTAAATTTCACCTGCCTAAATGATACAAATTTTTATTGATTAAGAAGTACTACTTTTCTTAGCACTCGTCATCTCCAAGATGATATATTACCAGAAAATGATTCTTGGATGGAAGTGATAAAGTTCATCCAGTTCATAACATCATCCTTACCTTTTTTTTTTTGTCTTCTATAATTTTAAATTAATTTAGCTTTTAGAGAGACCAGATTGGACATTCATGAGGGGAAGTAAGGATAAAATCACGTTTTTGTTTGGTGATGATGACCACTGGGGACCATTGCAAATGTTTGAAGAGGTAAGGTATTCTTTCTTTTGCACGTCTTTCTCTCTCTTTATCAGTCTCCAATTACCTATTTCTTTCACTGCGAAGAGTATCATATGTTTTTTGTTTGTGGATTTGCAATTGGAAGCCTGTTTGTTGAGTATGCATGTATGAGCTACGCATATGAAGTGTGGACTCTTCTTTAAGTTATGATACTGGATCAAGCATGTGTTTGGTTATGATACTTTTAATATTATCTCCTGATTTCTGCCCCTTACAATGTTAATTATTTGGCTATATCTCTATTCATGTATGTGTCTCTATTCATTTAAGCAAGCATGTGTCTGTATCCAGATTTCAAAATGCCTGTGTGCTTCTTGGATCATATGAGCATTTTACTACTACTAATTCAGAAGTTTACTTCTAATGCTACAGATTTCAGGTTTCTTCATGGTCAAACTGGGGGAATCTTGTTCAAACAAAATGTAGTCTGAGTTAGTTTTTTAGTATTATATCTGATATTTAGGGGAGTGAAATAATAAGAATTTTCAGTTGTTATCATGTAGAATAGTTTTATGTGGCCTCTGTAATGTTGGTTGTCTTAAAGTTAAATTCAAATTAGTTGAGCAGGCTTTATCCTAAGAACCCTAACATAGGAAATGGAAGATCACTCAATATGTGGATGATCCAAACAATTAGGAAAGGTTGACTGATGAGGTGACTCATACCCTTTTTTCTCACAGATTTCAGAGCAGGTTCCTAATATTGCTATATCAGTTGAAAGGGAAGGTTATACTCATAATTTCTCTTGCACAGAGGCTGGCTCAGTATGGGTTGCTCAACATGTTGCAAACTTGATAAAGAGTCAAATACCAACTTCAGGGAAATAAGGTTAGTCTAACTCCATCTTTTGTTGAATGAAGGTGATTGAATTGAACGGCAATGATAACAACTTATCCCATTTATTTTGTGGCTGGATCTGGAAAAAATTACCTCAACTTTGGTGTTCAAATAAGCATTTGGTCTTGTTGTGTTGTTTTTGCTAGGATTTTGTTTCTAACTTTTTGAAAGATGAATTTCATTTCTATAGTATTTGAGCTTTCACATTATCGTCATGTGAGCAAACCTAAGATTCTAGGAGCTATATAACTACTTGGCATTGATTGGCAAACAACGTTTGATTTGACTTGGCCTTGCTTGTTGTCTTCTTACCTAGATGATCAGTGAACATCTTAAGGATGCATTCATAGGCAACAATTACACAAGAAAAAGTCAACAGAAAATAAAAGGGAACAGCAAAACAAATGGCAACAATTAGAAATAATAGCTTTTATTTTATTTGGTTGTATATTCTGAAGTAATGCCTCAAAAAGAGGCTACAACTAAGAAAGTTAATCATTATGAAATCATGTAATCTCTTATGAAAAGAGAACATGTTTATGAATAAAACAAGCAAGTTTATCACAATTCTTAAGAGGTCACAGCTCCCTCCAACGAACTCTTTTCTTCCGCTCCTCTTTCCCTTTTCTTCAAATCACAATAGGTCGCTCTAGGATCTTGAAGGATCTTTTCAAGCCACCAAATTCTAGGATCTTGAAGGAGATTCCCCTGTTCAACAACCCATGACCAGATCCTACACCAAGGCCATTAACAGAACACTTCAATTGCCAAATTTTTAAATACCATGTATTACAATATTTGTGAAATATGGAACTAACTCTTAATGTTGTTTACTTTCATTCAAATTGTACTGTTGGATATGCTTACTTATCTAGGTGTAATTGTTCCAGTATGGCTGCAGTTTGACCATTTAGAGTTCAACTTTGATCACCATTAAGTGGATCAATGGAGTGGTTCCATGTGAATCTATGGGAAGTAGCACAGCTAACATTCATTGGTTTCTCTCCTCTATTTTATTTTTCGTTATGTGAACAGAAACTAATAGTATTGACAATAATTCTACCTGATTGCATAATGTAGAAATAAGCACTGAAAATTAAAAGATAGAGCATTTCATGAACAAAAACTAAGGTTGATTGTAGGCATTTTTGCTTTTTAGTGCATTCTTCTAGGCAATTAACTGCCAACATAAAGTCTGTTACTCATTGTGGCCAAAGACCACCTAGTGATAATATCTTATCTCTGCTTATTTTTGTTGTTAAGAGTTAAAAGATTCCACATAGGAATACAACAAAAGATATTAGGTTTAACGAGTTAGGGTCTTACCACCTATGAGTTAAGCCTTTTGGATTAGATAGTTTTCTAACTTTCAGTTCTTGCTTATCTGTAATCTCGTGCTGTTGCTATATTTAAAGTGCAACTGGGAATCACAAATACTGTAATAGCTCCATTATTATCATTGTAGCAAGAACCCTTTAGAGTTAAAGCATATGCAAACACATGTATTGAAGGTGTTTTTTCGATAGTTGAACCATGCCGTTTCATGTTCTTACCGTAGCCAAGCGGAAAACAAATTTAGGTATTTCGTGGTTGTCTTTATTGTCCAAATAGCATCCTAGAGCTTTTGGTTCACTTACTATTGGGTTCTATATTTTCATGGATATAGTTAAGAGAAGATAGTGTATCATAAGCATGAAAATTAAGACGCAGTAGGTATGACTATGAAGCACATGTACGGATATGATATATGATACTATGTCTATTCTTAAACAAATTAGCACATGATATTTTGTATCAAGCACGTGTTTATGCCGTGCCAGAGAAGCGTGCGACATGAATGTGTCTGTATAAAACTAAACTAGCAGGATTGAAAAAAAAAAAAAAAAAAAAAAATAAGCCAGGTTGAAAAAAACAAAAAAAAAGAGAAAAAAAAAAAAAAAAAAAAAAAGAGAGAGAGAAGATTACATGAGCTAGTGAATTAATGATATTCATTAGAGTAATGTTAGGTGCAAGACGCAGATTCATAGCCCTAATTGCATGCATTTTTTCTAAACAAAATAAAATCAGAGGCTGCCAGCAGAAGAATCTAAATATCAGGACAGAAAATCTGCTGATAATTAGCTTCTGCTGTCCCGTGACTCTTTGATTTCTGGATCATTTAATTAATAATATATAAGCTTTAAACGCAAGTTTCCAACTAAAAACCTGCTGATATGGACAAGAAAAAGGTGCAAGTGGAATTAAATTTCACATGGGCACTTTTATTTAAGGACAAATAGCTATTCCGAACTGAATTAATTTAGGTCTTCCACTCTGATGAAGTAAATAAAAATATGAAATTTATTTTGTTCATATTTGTGAACTGTTTTTATTTTTCTATATAATATATTTTCCACTTTTATATTCCAACAATAACAAACATATAAAGGATGAGATTGCAAATAAAATTTTGTTTTATTTATATATTAAAATAGTAGTCGAATAGTTGAATTTTTTTATCTTGTAATATATGCATTAAGAATCAAAACCTAATACTCATTTTAATAATTTGCCACGTAAAGAAAAAATAAGAAAAAATTATGTTTAATTAATTTAGATTTCTGATACAAAGCTTGTGAACCTGGTCAAACCCTCTATACTTGGTTGTCTCTTTGTTTCGTGAGGGATGGGCTTAAAGATACTCGTAGTCCTAGAAAAACCTAAAAACAAACAACATTTGATTTCCTTCTGAAGTTTCCTATTATTGTCTTTTCCTTCTAGTTTTCTTTTGTTTTCTAAAATGTTTAGATAAAAACTGTTAGATCAAAACGCCATGACCTTTTATCGTTTTCTTAATCTGAATATGGTAAATAAGCAGTGACAGAAAGAAGTATCTGTGAAATAATATGAGACCTGGGATCATTTATCATTTAAAAATGGACATTTGCATTTGGTTTTTGAACGGGAAAAAAGATTGACAATGGAGTAGTTATTGCATATACAATAATTAATATTCTAATGTTTACTTTATGAATAATGATTATAAAATTTCAAGTTTTGATTAAAGCTGTAAATATGTAATAATTTTATTATTTAAAATAATTATTTTCAAAATTTATGGAATACAAATTTTATGAAATGTGAAAAATAATTGTTTCATTCTATTATTCCATTATGTCAACCAAATGGATTTATAGGACATTAACAGAAATATATACAATTCGATATAGAAGTCAAATGGTTCATTTTTTTCTCTGGAATTTCCTTTTAAATATTTTGCACGAAGTTTTATTTTCTTTTTGAAATTCCCAAAAAAGAAAATCTTTGTCAAAATAAACTAATATTTTTTAAATTATGAATTTTGATAATGCAACATTTATATTCATAAAATTTAATCCCCAACCGAACAAGCCTCTTTTTTTTTCAAAGATTTTCTTTAAAAAAAAAAAGAAAAAGGAAAGAAAGATGAAGCTTTGTTATTTTCCCAAAAGTCAGGGCCAGGCGATAGCAGTTGAGTTTGGTGCGAGGTCTATTTTACTTGTGACGGATTGACTATTCTGACAAACTGTTGTCTTTCGCTCTTAGGAGGTAACTTATTTAGAAAAACCATTTTAGAATTTTTTAACCAATAAAACAATAATTAAATTACAAAATCTAATTATCAAATTAGTTAGAAAGGTCAAGAGAAAGTAAAAGTGATTTTCATAATAAAAAAGTTGAAGCGTTTGCGTTATATGTATATAAGTTGTTTATACTTGGCTTTATTTTCAATATTGCACTCATTAAAATAAAGTCAACAATTAATGTATTGAAGTATAAGGTCAAATTAAAAGCATTCAAAGTTCATGATGTATTAGACCATTTAGCCTTTTATTTTTTTTTCTATTTTGGGTTAGATATTCATGGGTTAGGTTTGTACATATCACAATTGAATCTCTTTTTAAGTGATGTAACATCCTAAGGGCGATCCGTTTAAAGAAGGCACGTTAATAAGTTTGAAATAGACATGCACGGTGAAATTATTACTCGTAATGGAATGAATATGGGTAGGGTACCGGTATGGATTTTTGGATATCCTCTATCCATCAATTGCTATATTAAACGGATTCGGTAATGGGTACCCGCGGGTACTCTATCCATTATTAATAGAAAATGTATTTTAAATGAGTTTTAATTTGGATAGTTTAAGGTTCATTGGTACTCTATCTATTACTTTAAACGGATACGGGTAGTCAAAATTTAAACGAATTCAAATACAAGTACTTAAATGAGTATCTAAAAAGGTTTAAAATAGATATGGGTAATAAAATTTTAAACGGATACAAATACAAATAATTTAAAATTCATGAATATTCGCTCTACTTTTATCCCTATTTGCAGTGAAGGTCTTAGAGGTGGAGCTCGGTCTTATCATAAAGTTGTTTGGTGTCAAAGTAGCGTGTAGTGTTTTGATTGTGTTCGGCAGTAGCGTTTAGAGTAACGTTTAGTGTTTTGAATTAGTCAAAACACTATTTTTCTAAATTACTGTATTCGGTAACTTGATATATAGAGTAGCTTTTAGATGTTTACGGAGTGTTTTCTAAAACGTTATCTTACCTAACATTTAATGTTTCACTCTTTTTATTAATTTTTTTTACAACATTATCCTTATCTTTATCCTTAATTAATATAAAATTATTGTGTTATCACATTACGTGTTTTATTATCTATATGTTTGGCTTATTTGTATTTGATAGTAAAAGAAAAAAATATTATTTTTATATTTGTATAAATGCAAACAAATATTAAAAATTAAAAATATTGATCCCTAAAATATTTAAAGTTTCCCATTTTATTTATAAAATAGTGAACTTTTCAATTTTTGCTCCCTTAAATTTTGAAAATTTACATATAGTGAAATTATTTTTTATAATAAATTTAATTGAAAATCCTAGGTGAATATTTCAATATCCTTTTTTGTCATTTTAAATTTATTGTCAATCAAACAGCTATTTTTATCTAACACTTTCGCTTTCAACTACTATTTAAACAGCTAACAGCTAGCCGTTAACATGTAGCAGCTAACAGCTACTAAAATAATTAACAACTATTAAAAAAAACTAACAACTACTAGAACAGTTAATATTGCTGAACATATCTATAGCCGAGTGAAAGGCTAATTAGGAAGGCTTATATGGCAACTTTTTATAATTTAAAAGGATCCATATCAAGTTTTCCGTTTATTATCCAATAGAAAATTAATGGGTTTCTTTTATGTAAGGACGATCGAGATTTTTATTTTTTTGCGTAAAAAAATTGAATTTTGAGCACAACAATGTAATAAGTTGTATAGTTTAGCCACGGCCGATGAAATTAAGTCGTTTCATTATTTCATACCGCAATCAAATAATTTAACCTCCTTCGACCCTACAAAAATGAAATTGCAGATAAACGGTCAAGATTATATTGTCATATATAAACATTAACAAACCTGTCATAATACCATTACATGGGCCCAACTGAAAATGACCCACATGAAAGATTTTTGCTATTAACACGTATATATTGACCTTCCCTCTTGCACAGTCAAATGCTTCATCTCCACAAGAGAACCAAATCCCAAAAGCCAAAAACTCTCTCTCTCTCTCTCTCTCTCTCTCCCTCTCTCTCTCTCTCTCTCCTCTTCTCTTCTCTCTCATCGTCTCTCTCTCTCTCTCTAACAGTAGCAGTTTACTATGTCCACCAGCAAGAAAAGGGGTTCATCTTCAAGTACTGTCCCTCGGTCAATTAGGCTTGCAATAGCTGAAGAACAAACCTTTCCAATATATTCATCCAAAGCCAAACCAACCACTCGCCCACCAC